TATTCAAAGAAGACAATTCCAGGCAGAAGAAAGAGCAAGTGAAAAGGCCCTGGGGCCCAGTGAGCACTGTGGGCACGTAGGAGGTGCAGCTGGAGAGGGCCCTGTGGGCCTGGGGAAGCACGTTGCCTGTCATCCCAGGTCACGTGGGAAGCCCCTGCAGGTTTGTGCAGAGGAATCACAGGACTCAATCTACGCGTGATCTGATCTCTCTGGCTGCTGTGTGCATGAGCCGCAGCACAAAAGTCGCAGAGTGACCAAGTGAGTGGCTTTGACAATAATCCTGCTCCCTGTCCCCCCAGAGAAGCCTGCAGCCTTGGGTGCTGAATGTGCCATATTTTAAGCAGGATATGGAGTAAGTGGACCCTGACACTCCTCCAGGGAGGGTGGCTCACTGGGCTCAGAGGCTCCGACAACCTCCCATCTGCAGCCACCCTCCTTCCCCCACAAGCCTTCACCCAGGTCCCTCCGTGGGCCTGCCCCTCCTTTCCTTTCCCAAGAGAAGGAAGATGAGTGAACCTTTCACCGCTGCGCTGCATCTAATGGCTGGACAGAGGAATGCGGAACGTGCTAGGGCAGCACAGGTGAAAAGGAGATGAGTACGTCAGAGGCGGCAACATGTGCGCTGGGCCTTGCAGGATGAATAGGAGTTTGCCGGGTAGAGAAGGCATTCCAGGCAGAGGGAAGAACACATGCAAAAGCTCAGGAGCAAGTGAACAAGCGTGGCTGGGTCATGAGAAGGTAAGGGGGGTCCGATCCTGAGGAGACTGGGATGCCTTTTATAAGGAACTTAGCAAAGGTCCCCTGAGGGCTGGCATGACCAGCGCTGGGTCCTAGTACCCTCACTTTGGGACCAGAGAGCAGGGAGGAGAGCCCAGAAACTTACCTGAAGAATCCCCAGATGCCCAGACGGTACTGAATGGTCACCACCACCACGTTTTCATCGGCAGAGAGGGCCAGGCCATCATAGGTTGAGGCCCCGCCCATCATGAGACCACCTCCGTGGATCCACACCATCACCTGGACAGGGAGGGACACCCACACTGGTTAGAGGAAGCAGAGCTGGGAAGGACTCAGACTATGTCCAGTTTCATCATCTGCCTCTTGGCCATGACTCAAGCAGGCCATTACCCAAAGTCCACCAGCGCCCAGACGGGCTACAGAATGCAGTATCTTCCCTTCCGGACCCTTTCAACTGGGGCCTAGGCTGGCACCCCATTCCACACGCCCTGGTTCTCCTGCCTTTCTCCCGAGCCCCAGTGCCACCTCCCTCACCCCAGGCCCTTCATGCTGAGCACATCACCATGGGAACAAGAGCAAAGGCTCAGGATGCCCTGTTCTCCCCCACACTCCCGTCACCCTCACGCTGGACCTTGCATCCAGCTCTGCGTAGGCTCGTACCAGCGCTAGCACGGCAGCTGCGTCTCGGTTAGCTCTTTCGTGGTGAACTACACCCGTGCACAGGGGACTGTCTCAAGAAGCACACACGCCCCGATGGTATCTTCCTACTATGCCTCCTTTCTGCCCCCTCTGCTTCACCAAAGCCCACCCAGCCTGCAAAGCCCAGCCTAGATCCACCTAGAATCCACTCCAGGAAGCTTCAATCACTTGACTAACATTATCTGGGAACCAGCCGGGGACTGTGAGAAGAACAGAGGATGAAAGGCGACACAACAATTCATAATTCATGGGTCTCACATTTAAAGAGCTC